AATCAAATCAAATCAAATCAAATCAAATCAAATCAAATCAAATCAAATCAAATCAAATCAAATCAAATCAAATCAAATCAAATCAAATCAAAATTTATTTATATAGCACATAAAACCATGAATATCTTCCTGGAGGCGTCCAGCTGTTTTCTTTTTTCAAGCTATTTTTCATGTTTTGTTATCAGCTGTACCAACGACACATTTCTTCTCTAAACTCTTCATACAGGACGTTTCCTTCCTTTACAAAGTGTTCAGGCCCAGAAGCCCGTTCAACCAGAGTTCAACCAGAGACTAAAAATGACCCGAGGCTCCACTTATATAATTCCTCCTCGTTCTGTTGAAGTTTAGCAACTGTTTCACAGCAATTTCATGATGGGTATTGCAAAAGATTTTCTGACTGTGATTGTTTTATTACATGTCTTCACATCCAAGCTTCCAGTAGACATTTGCTGCCCACTATTGCCTCCGTTGTCCAATGCAATGCAGAGTTCAAGTTTCCACATCACAACTGTGTCTAATGCCAACTGGATCAGGACTGTAAGTGTTCTTACCACACGTCCTGACAGCTGGAGACCTCAGAGATACATACATGTTTTAGCATGTTGCACAGGTGTTTTATTATCTATTAATCCTCATTTTTATGCCTTTTTTAGTCTGTTCATATCTACTGATGCTGTTTTGTTTGTTTGTAGAGGGCTTATGTAGCTTTATTAACTCCAGCCAAGTGTCCTAAAGAAAGTAAGTAAAAGCTGAAGATGTCACTGGACCTACTTTACCTGAGAGCTGAGCTGGGACATGCTCTGGTCATGAAAAGAAGAGCTGATGCTGTTACATGACACTTTTGGCTGGTTGTCTGTTTATTTCAGATATTTTATATTGGGGTTAAAAGGACCCTGATTGGTGTCATCATGTAAATAAAACACAAATAACATAACTGACATTACAAGATGTTTCAAAGTCGGCTTGATGCAAGCAAACAACAGTTCCTTATCTTTTAAGTAGGGCATAAAGTTAAAGCATGAATGCATGCACCTCTAATTTCAGCGCAGCACTTCATGAAAGCAATCAGGGGATATCCTGCATGTACCAAATGTCATTACACAAAAATGAAGGAGAAATGGTAAAAACAGTGAAGAACAATTAATCATTGACTTGTCTGAGAGGTTCTGCAATATGTGCATGTGCCAGAAAATAACCAGGACCATTTGAATAAAAAATACTGCACTTGCAGTGTTTTTCAGATATTAGGAGCACCTTCCCTTAATTTAGCTTTTAGCATTCTAGGCTCCCGGCACACTGTTAAAAAGGTCAAAATACAGTTGGCACTGCCCGCAGCGCTACTCTACTGCCAACCAGGAGGTCAGAGATTCAGGTGTGATATGTTAATAGTTACATGGAGAAATTAGCCTCAAACAGAGATAAGAAGCACGTTGCAGAGGTTTGGCAGGTTCAAGTTTTCTAACCCTTTCTAACCCTTTCTAACATAAATGTTACCTGTTTTTTCTTTTTAATGCTGGCTAACATAGATTTCATAACTCTAGAATAAATATGGAAATATTCTGAGTTTCAAAAGTGATTTCAGAAGCGTGCCTAATGATTGCAGTGGATGTCTGCTGAGTCAAGACTTTTGCAATGCTTCAAATTTCCACTTCACAGCTGTTCTGCCAACTGGACCAGGGCTGTCTTCCAAAGTGTTCGTGGCTCACATCTTAAAGTACAGAAGATTTCAGTTGAGTTTTGAGCAGCTGCCCTTTATTCACGTGAAAAAAAGCACTTCATAAAATATAATACTACAAGGTGAGCACAATGGGGGCCCATCGTGTTTCCAAAGGCGATAAGTGTCCAGGGTTGCTCACTTCAAGTTTATATTGCCTCCACCAGTGTGTGAATGGGAGAGTGAATGAATAGTGGCATTGTAAAGCGCTTTGGGTGCCTTGAAAAGCGCTATATAAATCCAATCCATTATTATTATTAAAAGTTGAAATGAACATCTTGTACTGCCATATATTTGTCACTTGGCAGGAAGGTTAAAGAGATGTGCCAGTGTTTACACATGACAAAGGTCTTCTGGTGTCACAGAAACACTGGATATATGTAATATTTAATAAAAACACTCTCTGATTATCAACAATAAAATCTCGAGATAAGCAGCTCTGAGTCAAACCTTTTTCTTGGGATTCTCCTTTAATGCTGGAGATGTTCTTTTTGTTGGAATTGGTGAATATTGGTGAATATCTCACCCTATTAGAGCACTTCGCTCTCGCTCTGCAGGCCTACTTGTTGTTCCTAGAATATTTAAAAGTAGAATGGGAGGGAGAGCCTTCAGTTTTCAGGCCCCTCTTCTGTGGAACCAGCTTCCAGTTTGGATTC